TGCGTGTGTGTGTGTACACACATGGACAAACAGATGACTCTGTTTTAGATCTAAGAAAACAGCTATCTTTAATTTTGAAATGTCATTGTGTGTCTTCAGTTTCAGTAGTTCAGAGTTTTGAAGCATCCTGATCTTTGCCAGATATGTAAGTATCTTAGCACCATCAGATGAAGTAGGTTTTCTTGTGATCAGATGTTACTCTAAGTAAATTGGGATGCACATTGTTGAGTCAGGCAGCTCAACAAGCTGTGACACATAAACCTTTCAGAAAAAATCGTATGTCATGGAAATGTATGGGCATAGACTTTGGAATGAAGAGGCCTGGATAAGTTCCTGGCTCTGCCTCTGACTAGTTCCCTAAATGGGAAAGCCATTTTGTCTTTCTGAAATTGGGAGTAATATCTTTTTTTAAGAGGGTGCAGGACTCTACTAACCGGCGCCGCCTTTCTGAGCTGCTGTGTTACCACACTTCCCAGTCTGGGGATGAGATGACTTCTCTTTCAGAATATGTGTCCCGCATGAAAGAGACCCAGAAGTCCATCTGTTACATCACTGGTGAGAGCAAGGAGCAGGTTGCCAACTCCGCTTTTGTGGAGCGAGTGTGGAAGCGGGGCTTCGAGGTAGTGTACATGACGGAGCCTATCGACGAGTACTGCGTGCAGCAGCTCAAGGAGTTTGATGGGAAGAGTCTGGTCTCAGTTACCAAGGAGGGCCTGGAGCTGCCTGAGGATGAAGAGGAGAAGAAGAAAATGGAGGAGAGCAAGGCCAAGTTCGAGTACCTCTGCAAACTCATGAAAGAAATCTTGGATAAGAAGGTTGAGAAGGTGACAATCTCCAATAGGCTAGTGTCTTCACCCTGCTGCATTGTGACGAGCACCTATGGCTGGACGGCCAACATGGAGCGGATCATGAAAGCCCAGGCCCTTTGGGACAACTCTACGATGGGCTATATGATGGCCAAGAAGCACCTGGAGATCAACCCTGACCACCCCATCGTGGAAACACTGCGGCAGAAGGCGGAGGCGGACAAGAATGACAAGGCAGTCAAGGACCTGGTGGTGCTGCTGTTTGAAACAGCTCTGCTCTCCTCCGGCTTCTCACTCGAGGATCCCCAGACTCACTCCAACCACATCTACCGCATGATCAAGCTAGGGCTGGGCATTGAAGATGAAGTGACCGCAGAGGAACCCAGTGCTGCTGTTCCTGATGAGATCCCCCCACCTTGAGGGTGATGAGGATGCCTCTCGCATGGAAGAAGTAGATTAGTTCTATCTGCAGACCTTGTGCCCTCTGTATAGTGTCCCCATGGCTCCCCAGCAGCCCCGAGTGGCCCCGGTTCAGCTGGTTCCCTCTGCTGATGTCTAGTGGTTTTTTCTTTTTTTTTCTCCTGTCTTTGAGGCAGGAAAGAAGGCCCTCAAGCCCTATCCCTTCTGATATTTGACGGGGTTTGGATATGTATTGTGGGTGTTTTTTTTTTATTTTGTTCCGAGATTAAAGTATGCAAAATAAAGAAGATACAGTTTTATACAGTTAAAAAAAAAAAAAAAGAGGGTGCAGGGATATTTAAGAGCAAATGTATGTAATGCAAGACATACCAAGTACTCAGGACATACCATAACTATCATAAGTACTCAAATGGAACTCTTGCTGCTGTTGTGATTATCATCATCTTTATTTTTTTTTTAAAGATTTTATTTATTTATTAGAGAGAGAGAATGAGAGATAGAAAGCAGGAGAGGGAAGAGGGTCAGAGGGAGAAGCAGACTTCCTGCTGAGCAGGGAGCCCGATGTGGGACTCGATCCCGGGACTCCAGGATCATGATCTGACCCAAAGGCAGTCGCTTAACTGACTGAGCCACCCAGGTGCCCCCATCATCTTTATTATCATATTTGGACATCTGTGTTGGGCCAGAATTGCTCTTAACAACCATGGGCAATTGTTATAATAAAGTCAGCTTCTGAAAGTGGTAGTACTCAGCCTTTTCCACTGTGATCTTAAGACCTGCATAGGCACTAGAATAGGCGGTACCTATTTATTTTGAATAGTATACAATGTTTTCTAAAAGACTCAACCTCAGCCAATAAAAGGTATTTATTGTCTAATTATTGGGATGACTCCAGACTACTTTTGGTAAGGTCTTCAATGATCCTGAATTAACAAATCCATGAATTTGAATTTTTCTCTTTGAGGCTACTGGTAGAAGTTACTTACCTGGGGATTTCACATCCAGCAATCCAGAGTGTAGCTTAACTAGATATTGTTCTCTGTTTATCATGTGTATCTGCTAGTATGTGGGGTTTGTTGAAACATCTTCAGGAAACATGTGCATGAGGAATGCATCAAGTTCAAACAGTGCATGAAGGCTATTTGTACTTGACTCTATCATTGTCATTCACCCACCAGTTAAGTATTTTTTGTTTGGGCAAGTATCCCTTTAGAGTGCTTGTTACACTGTATTGTAACTTCATTTGTGTTCCGCTCCACTCCTTTAAGAGATCTTAGGAGTGTAGAGGTTGTGTCTTACTCATTTTTATCCCCATGCCTAGCTTAGTCCCTGGGAAGAACAGGTCAGTAAATGTTTTGTTCAGTGACTGAGCAAACAGGCATTAGGTCAGCCCTGACTAAAGTCATTTCACAGTGACTAAACTGAGGGGGAAGGGGGGGGTTGGGGTTGTGGAGTGGGATGGGGGACAGGGTGGGGAGCGGGAGGGTGGGAGTAGTGGGGGTGTCAGAGTTTGCAGAGAGAACAGTCATGTTCTCTAATATATCCAGAGTCTGGCAGAAGTATTCTTCAGTAAAAGGTATTTGAATGGATGAATGAAGAGAGAAGGCCTCTAGTCCTTGAATATTTAAACTGGATGAGATATTTTTTGAAATGGACACTCACCCTTGTTGCCTAGAACTAGAACCCTGAATAGTGATACCTTTCCATTCCCATTTTTCATTGCTAAGCTGCAGGGAGTTTGGGTAGCTACCTTTCAGCTCTCTCCACCAAACCTTCTAACTGCGGTGAGACTGCTACCCTGGCCATGAGTCCCTCTCTTCTGCCATTCTGTCCCAACTGCCTTTGGTCTCTAACATCCCCTCACCGTGGCAATTTCCCCATCATTCTGTGCAAGTCTGTTCCCATCTCAGGGACTTAGTTGTTCTCTCAGTGTAAGGCTGAGCCGTGAGCTCCCTGATGTTGGCAGTGTCTGTTACGGAGAATGGAACCCCCCCCCCCCCCCCCCCAGCCACCCCCCCCCAGGGCACTGGTTCCCCAGAGCTCTACTTCATTTTAGCCTGCAGCCTTCCTTCTATACTGGGGTTTGGTAAGCCTTCTGGTAAATGGGACCAGACTGATCTCGGAAGCTAAGCAGGGTTGGGCCTGGTTAGTACTTGGATGGGGGACCAGACTTTTTAAGTGTTTTTTGCTGTTTATGAAGTAAAAACAAAAATAGTGCTCTTTGTTGCTAATAAAAATTTGTGATGGAGTATTTCTCTCGGGTGTTTGGGTTAATACCTTTAACATTAATGTGTAGTGTTTGAGTCAATACCTTTAACATTAATGTACAGTATTTAGAAAGGCTATAAAGAAATGAGATCAAGAAGAATTAGTACTGTTTACCCTATTTGATGTGAATTGAAAAGGATTGAAGACAACTTTTTTGTTTTGTTTTGTTTTTTCCTTTGGGAAATAAATGCATGTGAATGAAAAGTCCCAAATTAGAATTGGATGTCTTTGTTCCAGTTTTCATTCACTCAGTATTCTTGTTGGAAGAGGAGACTATCAAAAGGGACATACTAGTTAAGTAGTAAGTTTCCAATTGTGATAGACACATTATTTATGGATATTTTCTCTAAGGAAATGTAAATGTTAGAACCAATTATGAAAGAGATGGTATCAGGTACTGTACATTCCTAAGAGTACTTTTTTTTTTATTATTTTAAGAATTTTTATTTATGGGCGCACCTGGGTGGCTCAGTCGTTAGGCGTCTGCCTTCAGCTCAGGTCGTGGTTCCGGGGTCCTGGGATCGAGCCCTGCATCTGGCTCCCTGCTCTGCGGGGAGCCTGCTTCTCCCTCTTCCACTCCCCCTGCTTGTGTTCCTTCTTTCACTGTGTCTCTCTCTCTGTCAAATAAATAAATAAATAAAATCTTTAAGGAAAAAAAAGGAATTTTTATGTATTTATTTGACAGAGAGCACAAGCAGGTGGAGTAGCAGGGAGAGGGAGAAGCAGGCTCCCCGCTAAGCAAGAAGCCAGATGTGGGGCTTGATCCCAGGACCCTAGGATCATGACCTGAGCCGAAGGCAGTCGCTTAACCAACTGAGCCACCCAGGCGCCCCTGCACATTCCTAAGAGTACTTTCTGACTCTGCTCAGCCTGATTTAAGATTTTATCTACTGCGAGGCTTATTTAGTAGTTTCTTTAGAGCCCAATGTCATAGCAGGTTGTTAATTATAAAATTTTACGAAGAGTCTTCTTTAGCAATGAAAGTCTAACAAAATAAGGCTTAAACTTGAATGTTTCTGATTAACTTATTTAACGTAAGTCCAGATCTCAGGGCTGGAAGTTCAGCAGTTTGCTAACTATAGTAAAACTATAGTATAGTTTTCTTTCTGTTTGGTTTACCCCTTATCTTCAGGAGTTGATCTAATGTGGTCTGATCATGTTCTGAGCAGTCCCATACCACATGGGACATGACATTATGCATTCATTTTAGCTCCAGATTATTTTTTATAGACTTAATTTTTAGTATAACTTATTTCATAGAGGAAGGGAGGGCTCTAAGTCCTTGGTCGTGGGAATTCATCATAAGAATCTTTTTTTTTTTTTTAACTCCCATCCAAGGAAAGAAACCTGAGATAAGTGTCTTTCTATATAAACTACTTTTAAGTGTATCTTGTTTATCATTTTTCTTTGGATGTCTTTCACTTTGATCTTTGAAAATATGCAGAGATGGAATTTTAATTCCAGAATTATTTTTCTTGTTTGAAACTGAAATTATAGTGTTTTTTATTTTTTTTATTTTTTATTTTTTATTTTTTTTGAATTTTTAAAACTTTAATACAGTTCAAATCAGTGGGCCAGGTTCACTTCAGCTCCTTCACTGCCAAACCTGGGGGCAAGGACTGCTTCAGCTTCTCTGCCTTCTCCTTGTCCGTGATGACCAAGGTGTAAAGGTATCTGCTGCACCGAACTTTAAACTTCACGTTATCCTTATTTTTCTTGATCTTGACGGATTTGGCATCCTTTCGCCTGGCCGTGAGCAAAAAGTCCTTGATTTCCTCGATTTTGCGAGGCATGGCTACGGGGGGCGCACGGGAGCGCGCGGCCGGCACAGCGAGCAGCAAGAAAAGAGGACGGAAAAGTGAAATTATAGTGTTTTTTAATGGCATTTCCCAATATATTACTTGGGAGGCAGGAGAGAAGTCCTTTTGAGGTTATTAGCAAGGAAAGTCATTTATTTTATTTTTTTTAAATATTTTATTGACAGAGAGACACATAGCGAGAGAGGGAACACAAGCAGGGGGAGTGGGAGAGGGAGAAGCAGGCTTCCCGCGGAGCAGGGAGCCCGATGTGGGACTCGATCCCAGGACCCCGGGATCATGACCTGAGCCAAAGGCAGATGCTTAACAACTGAGCCACCCAGACGCCCCAAGGAAAGTCATTTAAATGACAGAATTGTACAATGAAGTTTTATTTTTATGAGGTCTATTTATTAAGTTAAATTCTTTGGCTTTATATTCATGCAGTTAGATAGTTATTTACAACCATTTCATATAGGTAACCATCAGAGCCGAGTGACGTGTACCTGATTAAGAGTTGTTTTACTTTTTTTTTTTAAGTAATCTCTATGCCCAATATGGGGCTTGAACTCACAATCCTAAGATCAAGAGTTGCATGCTCTTGGGGTGCCTGGGTGGCTCAGTTGTTAAGCGTCTGCCTTCGGCTCAGGTCATGATCCCAGGGTACTGGGATCGAGCCCCCACATCAGGCTCCCTCCTCAGTGGGAGGCCTGCTTCTCCCTCTCCCCCCTGCTTGTGTTCCCTCTCTCGCTGTCTCTCTGTCAAATAAATAAATAAACTTTAATAAAAAGGAAAAAAAAAAGAGTTGCATGCTCTTACTGATTGAGCCAGCCAGATGCTTCAAGAGTTGTTTTAACGTAGAGAATTGATGCCTTTCCAAATGTTTTCCTTATCAGTTAATTCACTATAATTGGCCTGTCATTTTCAAGCACTTTTGCAACATGGAAAGGGAAGTTGTAAAAATTTTCTGAAGTAATTCAGTTAAATTCATGGTATTTCACCATCTGTTGGCAGGACTTTGTGTCATTGTATCAGGATTTTGAAAACTTCTATACAAGGAACCTCTACATGAGGATTAGAGACAACTGGAATCGACCGATCTGCAGTGTGCCTGGAGCCAGGGTGGACATCATGGAGAGGCAGTCTCATGATTACAACTGGTCCTTCAAGTGAGTCTCAGTTGGGAAATTATTTCTTGACAGCAAGACAGAAAGAATTTCTTCACTTCAGAATACATTCTATTGCAAATTGAGTAATCTGTTAAAACAAGAGTAGAAGCTGAGAATACAGTACAACATAATTAGTTTCCTTGCATATTCATTGTTATCCAGATCTTTTTTGTTATCCAGATTTTTAAAATGCATTTTTCTATGACGTTTGATACTGTGTTGTATTATAATTGAAAACAAAACTCGACTTATTAAAAAGAAAAACAAACAAAAAAACCAAAGAAAAACTGTCCTGTTACGCCACTTACCAGAATCAAGTGTCTGAATTTACTTCTGGATATTCTGATTTCTCACATGATTCAAGGGCATAGAGAATGCTTTTACTTAAATAGATTGAATAGTTTAGAAAACTTTTCATATTCATAAAATTTTATTGTTTAGATAGCACAAGTATTATATGGTTGCATTGTTATTATTTAAAAAAAAGACAAATAATACAGATAAATGAAATGTTCTCCCATGACAACTAACCACTATCCCTTCTACAAACCCACTTCTTCACAAGGCTTCACTCCCCAGAGGTGACCATTGTTACCAGTTTGTTGTGTTTGATTCCTCCAGATGTTTTCTGTGGGGCATGTATGTAGTGAATCTGTGGGGTGACATACAAGTAGTTTTTGATTTATAAAAATGGAATCATACTATAGAAATCATTTTATGTCTTTTTTACTTGCTAACATGCTGGTAATATCCTGCTTATCTATATTCACAGCAAATTCATTATTAGTAGTGGCTACTGAGTATCCTAAAGTATAGCCGTATATAGTATATAGAGGGTGGGTCGCATCATCGTTTGTTAAAAACCCCAAAATCTCAAAGTTCAAATAGCAATGGTGTGTTTCTTGTCCATACTTCGTGTCCGCCTTAGGTTGGTGGAGCCTCTGAACCATGTTGTTCTCACTTGTGGGCCCAGGCTGACTGAGCTTCCGCATGTGGAATGTCACTGGTCTATGTGCCAGTGTAGTAAGTAAAATTGTGTAGTGACTCTTTTTTTTTTTTAAGATTTGATTTTATTTATTTTAGAGAGAGAGTGCGCGGGGGGGTGGAGGGACAGAGAGAGAAGGAGAGAATCTCAGACAGACTCCCTGCGGAGCACAGAGCCCAACTCTGGGCGCCATCCCACCACCCTGAGGTCATGGCCTGAGCCAAAACCAAGAGTTGGACGCTCAACCAACTGAGCCACCCAGGTACCCCATTGTGTAGTGACTCTTAAAGGATCTTTATGCATATATTTTTTCATATGTGGGTGGAGATTGCTGAGTCAAAAAGTATGTTTATCTTTTAAATGGATAAGTACTGCCAAACTGCCCTCCAAAAAAAAAAAACAGTACTGACTGATATTCTTATCTACAGTATATGAGACTATCCTGGCCAGCACTGGATATGGTCAGTTTTTAAATCTTTATCATTATTGGTAAGTGAAAATTAATATTTTGTTTTAACTTTAATTTTCTTAATTGGTAGTGAGTTTGAGCTGCTTTTCACCTAGGCCATATTCTCCTTATTTCCTGTATATTGTGCTTCCTTTTGTGTTACCAGTATGTTTATTATTACATGTAAGTATTTGATTTGCTCATGAGTTTCATGAACTTTTGTGCTATTGAAACACAGGTACACAGGGAATATAATTAAAGGCGTTATAAACATGGGTTCCTACAACTATCTTGGCTTTGCACGGAATACAGGATCATGTCAAGAAGCAGCTGCCAAAGTCCTAGAGGAGTATGGAGTCGGAGTGTGTAGCACTCGGCAGGAAATCGGTAAGCGTAGGCTTTGTTTGGCCAGCTGATGTTCTTAACTGTGCTACTCGGGGGAATAGTGCTGGTACAGAGCTAGAATAGTAAGCATCCAAGTATGTACTTTGCCTTATAGCTTCTGAAGTAATGGATGATTTTAATGCTTTCAACACATTTTGAGACATATTTACCTTTTCCTTTATGTTATAAAATGTGTCTAGAAAGGTTCCATAAATATTTGATTAATTTATAACTTTAATGTTGGCTTTTAACCACAAATGATAGTGGTTAAGGGTGCCACTTACTGTTACTGACCACATGGACATACGACGGTTAATATGTTTCCATACCGGTAATTGGAGGCTGATAATAATTCCTATCTTATAGGGCTCTTTGAAGAATTAAATCAGGGGCGCCTGGGTGGTTCAGTTGGTTGGACGTCTGCCTTTAGCTCAGGGCATGATCCCAGAGTCCTGGGATCTGGCCCCGCATCGGGCTCCGTGCTTGGCAGGGAGCCTGCTTCTCTCTCACCTTCTCCTGCTCCCCCTGCTTGTGCTCTCTCGCTCTCTCTGTCAAATAAATAAATGAAATCTTAAAAAAAAAAAAAGAATTATTTTAATTCACATAATTCATGTGAAGTGCTTGTGACATGGAAAACACTCAGTAAATGTTAACTCTTATTATTGTTAAGTCTATAAAATGTAAAGGTGAACAGGTTTGTATAAAGAGAATTAATTTTTTTTTTAAAGATTTTATTTATTTGAGATAGCACGAGTGCAGAGGGAGAAGCAGGCTGAGCAGGGAGCTCGAGATGCGGGGCTGGAACCCAGGACCCCAGGATCATGACCTGAGCCAAAGGCAGGCGCTTAACCAACTGAGCCACCCAGGAGCCCCTAAAGAGAATTAATTTTTGTTCATAGGAAGATTCCAAATTCTTCCATTTTGTTTGAGAGACTGATTACTATAGAAATTATAAGGCAACTTCCAGGATATTTATTACAGTGAATCACCCCAAAACTTAGTGGATTAAGACAATAATTCCTCATTATTTCTCGTGGATCTAAAGACTGGCAAATGTAGCTGGGTCATTTACACTCAGGGTCCTCAATGATGTGGTTAAGGAAGCATTGTGCAGTGACGACATACAGTAATCAGACCTTACATCTTTATGGCACTTTATAAACTGCTTGAACCTATTCTCTTTTGATCCTCAACAATATCATGAGGTAGATAGAGCAAATATTATTAGTATTTAGCAGATAAGGAACTGAAGCCCAGAGAGGTTAAATGACTTGCTTAAAGCTTTGAGGACATGTAGCATCCTAGTTCAGCAGTGTTTTTTCTCATCATCTTTTCTGCATTTAGCTAGTATCATTGATCAGTCTTGTTTGGTCCTTAAGGATTTGAGTATTGATATAAGATCACAGTACAAAGTGAAGGAGGATGCTTTTTAATTTGTCTTTTGCTACATAACAAATCATTCCAAACCTTAGTGACTTAAAACAGAAACATACATTTATTTGCTTGATGCTGCGATTTGGGGAGGGCTTAACATTTATCTTGAATCCATGTGATATGGGTGGGGCATTCTGGCCGATGACAGAGTGTCCAGGATGGCTTCACTTACATGTTTGGCACCTCAGCTGGGTATTGGGATCAGGTGAGGGCTGACTGAGCCCTGCATTCCCCTTTCAGATAGTCTCTTATCCTCCAGAGCTTCTCCCTCTCCATGTGGTCTCTCTTTACAACAGCTAGTTAGACTGTTTTACATGGTAGCTGACTCCAAAAGTATAAAAGCAGATGTTGGGGCGCCTGGGTGGCTCAGTCGTTAAGCATCTGCCTTCGGCTCAGGTCATGATCCCAGGGTCCTGGGATCGAGCCCTACATCGGGCTCCCTGCCCAGCGGGAAGCCTGCTTCTCCCTCTCCCACTCCCCCTGTTTGTGCTCTCTCTCTTGCTGTATCTCTGTCTGTCAAATAAATAAATAAAATCTTAAAAAAAAAATAAAATAAAAGCAGATGTTGCCAGGCCTCTTAAAGCCTATATTGGAACTGGCATGTGTCAGCAGGAATGGGAGAAATTGTTGGCAACCTTCTTTGCAGGAATTCCATCAGACGTGGTAAATTCAACTACTGTGTCCTTTATCAGCCATTTCTCTTCATAATACTCTTCCATGGAGCTTAGTCTGAAAAGGTCATCACATGTAGACTATGATTTCTTTTTATAAAGTAATGAGTGATTCTTAAATTTGGGATTTGGTAGTATTAACTTCATTAACTTCTCCATACAGGAAACCTGGATAAGCATGAAGAGCTAGAAAAGCTTGTGGCAAGTTTCTTGGGAGTAGAAGCTGCTATGGCATATGGCATGGGATTTGCAACAAATTCAATGAACATTCCTGCTCTTGTTGGCAAAGTAAGACTTAGTCTGTCATTTATGAAAACTCTGTTGTATATTTTGTTTTGTAAAGCATTCAGAGCAAGCCCAAGGCTGTTGTAAACTTCAGACTACACATGGTCTACCCAAAGATATTTCTAACACAAATTTTTATTAGTATATCCCAAGGAGACTTATATCAGTTGAAACTTTCTTGCTAGAACCCATGATCCTTTCTCTCCCATTAAATGACTCTTGCCTTCTTCATTTCATACAGTTTTGAAAGGGATTCTAAGAAATAAAAACCTCATAAAAGGCTAAAATTTTGAAAGAAAGAATGTTTAGTTTGGAAAGTTATTTAACAGATGGTTTTTCCTAAGTAGAAAAAGACAAAAATACGTAAGTACCCTAATACTTGTTCCTATCATAATGCATGGTGCTCAGAGATATATGGGCAAAATATGTGTATATATGTAAAATACAGGTAATGATACAGGTTAAAAGTAATAATATAGGTTAATAATAAGATTAAAAGTAGTAGTAATAATAGTAATAAAAGTGTATGTGTGGGTAGAGTGTGTAAGGGGGCAGTTAAGGAGAGAAGAGATAAACTCTGTAAATCACATTTTAAGCAGGTTGGCACTCTCGGCTTGAAAGGGCCCTCAAGGTTTTTATTTTTTATTTTTTTTAGAGAGAGCATGCGTGCACATGCGCACACACACACACACACAAGTGCACAAATTGGGGGGTTGGGAGGGGGCAGACAGAGAGGGAGAGAGAGAATCTCAAGCAGACTTTGCGCTGAGCACAGAGCCCAACATGGGGCTCAATCCCATGACCCTGAGTCCAGACCTGAGCTGAAATCAACAGTTGGGTGCTTAACTGACTGAGCCACCCAGGTGTCCCAAAAAGACATAACAGTTTTAAATGTATAGGTGCCTAATAATAGAGCTTCAAAGTACATGTAGGAAAAGTTGAAGAAATTGAAAGGAGAAATAGACAAATACATAATTATTATTAGAGATCTCCATTACCCTCTCTGAATAATTGATAGAAGAACTAGACAGAAATTCAGTAACGTTATGGAACACTTGAAAAACATTATCAACCAACTTGACTTAATTGACATTTATGAAACACTTAACCCAACAACAGCAAAACATTTACCAAGATAGACCATTTTCTGGGCCTTTAAAAAAGCCTCAACAAATTTTTAAAAATTTAAATTATTCAAAGTATGTTCTCTGATCATATGGAATTAAATTAGAAATAAGTAACACAAAGATATTTGGAAAATCCTCAAATATTTGAAAATGAAACAACATATTTCCAAATAACCCATAAGTCAAAGAAGAAAGGAAAAATAGAAAATACTCTGAGCTAAATGGAAATGTAGCATATTACAGTATATGGGATGAAGCTAAAGCAATACTCAGATGGAATATACAGCTGTTAAGGGCTTGTATTAAGAAAAAGAGAAAAGTTTTGAATCAGCCATCTACATAAGAACTTCAAGAAAGAAGAGCAGGGGCGCCTGGGTGGCTCAGTTGTTAAGCGTCTGCCTTCAGCTCAGGTCATGATCCCAGGGTCCTGGGATCAAGCCCCGCATCGGGGCTCCCTGCTCCACGGGAAGCCTGCTTCTCCCTCTCCCACTCCCGCTGCTTGTGTTCCCTCTCTCACTGTGTCTCTCTCTGTCAAATAAATAAATAAAATCTTTAAAAAAAAAAAAGATTAAATGCAAAGATTTCAAATAGAGGAAGGATAAAATAAAGCTGAATTCAGAAGTCAATGAATTAGGAAAAATGAATGAAACCAAGGGGCTTCTTTTTTTTTTTTTAAGATTTTATTTATTTATTTGAGAGACAGAGGGAGAGGGAAAAGCAGGCTCCCCTCTGAGCAGGGAGCCAGACCCAAGGCTTGATCCCAGGACCCCGGGATGATGACCTGAGCCAAAGGCAAATGCTTAACCAACTAAGCAGCCCCCAGGTGCCCCCCAAAGGTGGTTCTTTGAGAAAATGAATGAAATTGATAAATCTCTAGCCAGACTGGTGAGGATAAAAAATAGAGAAGACACAAATTGCCAGTAGCAGGAATGAGAAAGGATACATCATTGCACATCCTACAGACATTAAAAGGATAACAAGGAAATAAGAACAACTTTATGCTGGTAAATTCAACAGCTTAGATACAATGGACAGATACCTCGAAAGACATAAATGTGTGGTTCTTTGACTTCATATTGATTATAATACATTCCTGTCCTGCATTTGAGTGGCATAAATCTTGAGATTCTTATTTGGAATTTCTTAGAATTTTTCGCCCTAGAGGGTTAAATGATCTCATCCTGCTCTTCCCTGTATGTTCAGAAACTAATCATGTAGAATTAGAGATCTTGTATACAGACTTGGAAGATACTACTTTAAAGATTTATCTTTCAAATCAAACTTTATAGCTGAATGTTAAGTATCATTTAATCCATTAAAGACAGAAACTAATCCAGTTTTAATATTTCTTTGAATCTGATACTAAATTTGTGAGGTGGTTGATTTTTCAGCTTAAAGGCAGGGGGAGATAGTATATTATAGATTAAGATCATGTGTTCTGGAAGCAGAAGCTTTGTAATGAGTCACTCACGAAGCTTGTGACCTTGAGCAAGATTTGTAAAATCTTGCTCCTCTAAAAGGGAGTTTCCTCTTATGTAAAGTGGGGATAATAGTACTTGCCTCATAGATTTTTTTAATGGGGATTAAAAGTAATATTGCCTTTAAAACCCTTAACATAATCCCTGGAACATATTAAGCACTTAGCTTTTAACTGCTGACATTTAATTTTTATTTTATTTTTGAACTAACGATATAATAGAGCCTCATAGTAGATTGATACATAGAAATGGTGAATAAGGCTGTCTAAAAAGGAGGCAAATAGCAAGTTATATTGCAGATTTTGTCAAAAAAATGAGCTGGAAGGAGAAGAAAATAAAATTGTATGGAGGGGAAGGAGGGGGATATCCTTTTAAGGTATAGTGGAATGCCAAGAGTGGTAAGTAAAGGGTTGAAGACTTGCAGAAGAGAAATTCACTCTCTTCATTTTCTTCCCCAGTTTCTCCCTTTTCCACCCCCCCAATTTTAACACTTTTTTTCAAAGATTAATTTAGGCTTGTAAAAGAATACAGAGTTCCTGTATACCCTTCACTCAGCTTCCTTTTATGTTAATATCGTACGTAAGAGTGGAATTTATCAGACCCAAAAAATTAACCTTGATACAATACAATTAACTGAAGTGCAGAACTTATTTCAATTTCAACAGGTTTTCCACCGATACCATTTTCTGTCGAGGATCTGCGTGGTATCTCCTCAGTCTCCATTGTGTGACAGTTCCTGACTTTCCTTGTCTTTCCTTACCTTGACTCTTCTGAAGGAAGAGTTGTTGCTTCTCCTCTATTCATTTACATTAGTACAGATTCGTGAATATTTTGTTATTTGGATCCAGCACGATTGCCCTTTATTTTGTTGCTCGGATTGTTCCAGTTTTGGCCATTGGGAGATCTCCTGTGCCATTTAAATATGTGCTCATTCTTTTTTTTCCCCGCTAAAGAGCACTTTCTTTGTAGCATGACAAGAGGCCCTGAGCTTTTTTTTTTTTTTTTTAACCTATTTTAGCTTTGGGGTCAACCAGTTCTCCATTGAGCCCTGGTTCATTTTACTGGAGGGTGGTATTTAGAAATCAAGGTCTGTTGCGTTTACGGCCCCTTGGGTGTCACTGCTTCTTGTCCCTCAGTGCTTAGAGCTAGAAAAATATATGCTTGTATACTAACTCATGCATACACAGATCTGTGTGTATGTGTATACATTACATATACATTTTAAAACCCATCAGCCCATACTGTGGTATGGTACCTTCATACTGGTACCTTCAACTCTACTTCTCCTTTTTAATGTACACATTTTTAACTAGGTAGCTTTTTATCTCAATAATAAAAATTTTGCACAGTGTAAAAATTGTAGACATCTGCTGTTATGAGTTTAAGTATCCCTCTAAGAATATTTTGTTATAAATCAGTGTTTGTGTGTGTGTGTGTGTGTGTTTGTGTGTGTGTCTTCTTTTCTTTTTTCTCCGGGAACATGCTGATACTTTCTGCACCTTACTATAAAATCTAAGTGGATATTTTGAGGACACTGTTGGCAGAAAAACCTGTTTCTGAGTTCAGTTCTTACAGGTTGAAGGGCCTGAGCTGTGGAAGAGTAAGAACCTGGGATGAAATAAAATCCCTGAGAGCTTCAGCCTTTTCTTGTTGCCTTAGGAGAAACTCATGTTAACATGTTAAAGTAGAGCTTATTGAGGGATTTTAAATGCAAAATTGAGGCCTACACTTCATGTCAGTGGGGGAGAGTATTAGTAAGTGGAATCCTCATTGAATTCAGGGTATTATTAGGAGTGAGAGGAAGAATGCTTTACTCCCTCAGCTCCCTTGTCCCCCACTTTTTCCCACAAATAATAGCACATCATACCAAAACTCATATGGAATGCCATCAAACCAGCAAAACTGAAACCCCATGAAGACTATCTGATATATCAGATTTTAGGTATAAATAATAGCCTGTTGCTACATATCTGAATATTTAAGTCGGTCATAGAACTGAAGAAATTAAAAGGCTAGAATTTTGTATCTACTACTAAATTAATTTTGCAAAACAAAAATATGTATACTTTCCTTCTTGAAATTGATAATTTTGCTGTTGTATAAGCTTTCCTTAATAAGATACCATTATTAATGATTTTAGCATTTTGTAATTTGTGTAAGTAAACCTTTCCCCCTAGCTTCTTACCTTTCTGTGCTGGTGGTTTTGCAGGGTTGCCTGATTCTGAGTGATGAACTGAACCATGCTTCACTGGTTCTAGGAGCCAGACTCTCAGGAGCAACCATTCGAATCTTCAAACACAACAGTGAGTTTGATGTGGAATTTACTGCAGGCTTTAGTGTTTAATATTCTTTGGGTTAATGGCAGTGGTAACATTAGTTATGTTAATAATGGAAGATATAAATGAAGCATGTAGCAACTTTTTTTTTTTAAGATTTTATTTATTTATTTGACAGAGAGATAGCATAAGTAGGCAGAGAGGCAGGCAGAGGGAGAGGGAGAAGCAGTCTCCCCGCTGAGCAGGGAGCCTGATATGGGACTCGATCCCAGGACCCTGGGATCATGACCTGAGCTGAAGGCAGCCGCTTAACTGACTGAGCCACCCCGGTGCCCAGCATGTAGCAACATTTAAAGTGTCCTTCTGGGCCAGTCTTTTAGAAGTTATCCTCTTCCTCATTAGAAATAGAGGCTGAAGGCCTCTATTTCATACATATTTCTCCAGAGGCTGTACAAAATACAATATTCTCCTTTTATTTAGCTTTCAACTCTTTCATCTTCCTTGTGTAGAAGTCACTTGTTCAGTATGCATTTACTAGATGCCTATGGTGTGTCTTGCCGTAACACCAGGGCTACCGAGATGAATAAAGCAGGGTCTCATCTTAAGGAGCTCTGGCCGGTTAATGAAGAGACTGTTGAGAAAGCACTAGTGGAATACCACTGATACAGAACAGGTACTGGAGTCCAGGTATGAACAGCTGCTCCCCAGAGGAAGATGACACTGCCAGAACTTTCTCCCTAAGTGGAGGGGTCTTGTGTATTATTAAAATAATGATTTACAATAAGAAAGTAACTTTTGTAGTTAAAATACTAGCATGTAGGGAGGAAAGATTACCAAACTGTACGTCTCATACCATTTTTTTGCCAAAATGTGTACACATACAGACAAAAGTCTGGAAGAATAAACACCCAAATGTTAGATCTGTACTCTGGATGGGAGGCGTGTGGATGCTAATAACTTTCTTCCTTCTGTCTTTGTCTTGTCTAAAATGTTTTATAATGAAAATGATACATACAGTATTTTGTTTTATGAAGTACATGGCATTATTAAGCACAATTGTGTAACCTATTTCTTAAAACACATCGTGAACTTTGACGGTCCATGTGACTCTCCTCCTCCCCTAAGGCCAGGGTGGCAGGTGGTGTCTGGAGTTGCCCTCATTCAGTCCATCCCTCAATTTGGACATCAAGGTGGTTTCTAAATTTTTCTACTAGAAACAGTACTACCTACTCACATTTTTGCTCAGTGGTCTGATAAAAGCCCTTAGGATAAATTCCTAGCAGTCTTAGGATGCCTGATTAAAAGGTTATAAAATTTTTAGACTTCCAAATTGCCTCCAAATATGGTACAAATTTTTACTCAACAACATGACAGTGACTCTACTTACAGGCTGACATAGGACATTATGAATCACTTAAAATATTTTCTATTGAGTAAGTCAATAACATGTTAATTTCTGTTTCTTTGATTATTAGGTTTTAAGCAACTTTTTTATACAGTTAATTGTGTTTGTATTTCTTTGTGAATTGGCCATTTTCAAACTGTTTCGGTTTTCCACTGAGTATAAGAGCCCTTTATATTAATTACTCTTTTTTTCATTTTTAACTTTTAGTGTCTTGCTGGTAGATTTATTAAAATGGTGTTGGCACATTTATTCTTACGAGTTTTAGATTATGCATAATGCCTCCCCCATTTTAAGATCATAAAGTTACTCTCATATTTTCTTTTCATGGTTTTGTGGTATATTTTTTATTTAAATCTTTAATTTGCATGGAATTTAGGAAGCATAATATGAGAGAGATAATTGAATTTTTTTTCCCTGAGTAGGTGATACGGTCAAGCATTGTATAGGTACTTCCTTTCATCTAAAATTTTGAGTCAATATTTTTCTCTTCCTTTCTGTATATAAACAGAGGAAACTAAAACAATGAGTGCATTTTTATTTGTCTCCTGCTGGGTGCCACACATTGATCTCTGCAGCAGAAATAGCAGCTTCACAATAGACATACTTCGGTGGTAGCATCTCCTCTCTGGGTTAGGTAGCAGATTGTTTTGTTCTGAATAACTGAAGGTATAAACAGAGTCACAACCTTTGGCAATCTCACTTGTGGTATGTGTTTTTATTACCTTACTTCTCTTTCCTAACCAAAGTCCTTTCATAGAAAGAGCAAAATCATGTAACTTTGTAACCCCCTCCTTCAGTCCTGAGCAATAAAGAATATAAAATCACGTTTTATGATGGGGTGCCTTCCACCCCTGTTAAATATACCCCAGACTTAATATTGCATAGATTTTGGGGGAAAGGTCCTTAAGGCCATTATTTCAGGGCAGATATTTTAAGTATGAAGTCTACTGTCATGGTAACAATGGTCTTCACAGTATTTATCTTTAACAGGAAAATTATGATCCTCATTAGTGGTAGTACCAGCCAAGTTGTTTCTGGGCCTGGTAACCATCCTTAAGGACCAAGAGAGCTGATCGAGTCAAACATGGAACAGTCTCAACAGGTTGCCAAGCTTTCTTACCACATAGTCTCATGCGTGCCCAGACTGGTGTATTTTGAGCTCTCTACTAAGATAAAGCTATTTAACAAGCGTTTATTGAGTGTATCCTAGGTGAAAGGAAATGGGGCGTACACTTTGATTTTCCCCCATATTTGCTTTTTAGGAGGTGTATTTGTTTATTTGCACTCTCTTGCTCAGTCTTCTTTATGCATGTATTTCTGAATGACTCACTAGGATTAAAGATACAGTTGATTCTACAAATACAAAAAAACAAAACAAAACAAACAAACCCCACTAACTGAACGGCCTGGTATTTAACATGAAACATCAGTCATTTCACAGGCACGCTACCCAGTGGAACTGCCTGTGCCACAGTCATTTAGTGGAGTTTCCGTGGTTTTGGACATTCATTACATTTTAGATGAGATTGTCATTCAAGCTAGCAGTAGCTTACCCATTTTGCCTTATCTTTTTCGGCTTAGTTATGATTATGTTAATGTCCTTTGCCATCTGAGACACACTTCCTGAATAAGAAATGTGTATTTGCATTTCGGAAGTAGGGTTCAGAAAGAGGAAGGTACTTTGTGTTGAAATTCTTTTTTGTGTGCTATTTACAGATATGCAAAGCCTGGAGAAGCTGTTGAAAGATGCCATTGTTTATGGTCAGCCTCGGACACGAAGGCCCTGGAAGAAAATTCTAATCCTTGTGGAGGGAATATATAGGTAATCCTGTTTTCTTATTCTTATTTTTCTGATTTGGCTCCAGGAAATTACAGAGTTTTTAAGCAGAAGGGAACAGTAATCTGGACCCCTCTGGACACCAAGGAGGCAGTGTTTATGACTTGATAAAATACCTGGAAGCAGAGTCAACACTGGCACAGAAGTCTTTTTATCTGGCTTTTCTTTATTCTTTCCATCTTGCTAATGGTCTTCAAATTCCCTTTCTTTTTGCATCCTTTATTTCTACTGTTTGTAGAGGGAATGTATACATAGGGGCAAGAATTAGAATATGTTTTCTAATGTGTCAAACCAAATTCTACATCATTCCATTTTAAGAACAATTTTATTCTGGTTTATTTGCAGCCCTTGCACTTAACTCTCTTACCTCCTATCTTTTTTATTCTTTTATTCTGCTGTTTTAATTTCATCTGCTGTGTAATGCAAAATCCAACCTTGCCTGTAATTGCAAGTGTTAGAAGAATCTGCTGTGACCTTTATCCATCTGTGGTGAATTAAGGTCAATTCTGTTCTGGCGCTTGTTTGAAAAGATCCAGTTTCCTTTCCCCTAGACATCTGCCTAGCCATGGCATCATCTAACTTTGCCAGTTTAAAATCACAGGCAGAGTTGTCAAACCATTTAAAAAAGCAATAAACTGGGAAGGGGCGCCTGGGTGGCTCAGTCGTTAAGAGTCTGCCTTCGGCTCAGGTCATGATCCCAGGGTCCTGGGATTGAGCCCCACATCGGCTCCCTGCTCAGCAGGAAGCCTGCTTCTCCCTCTCCCACTCTCCCTGCTTGTGTTCCCTCTCTCGCTGTGTCTCTCTCTGTCAAATAAATAAATAAAATCTTTAAAAAAATAAAAAAATAAAAAAGCAATAAACTGGGAAAATTAATAGTAGTAGTAAGGTGACCAACTCTTAATTTTGAGAGTTAAAAAGTCTCAGTGTATTTTTTATCCATTTTGCCAGCATGGAGGGATCTATTGTTCGCCTTCCTGAAGTGATTGCCCTTAAGAAGAAATACAAGGCATACTTATATCTAGATGAAGCTCACAGCATTGGGGCTCTGGGCCCTAGAGGTCGAGGTGTGGTGGATTACTTTGGCCTGGATCCTGAGGATGTGGACGTTATGATGGGCACATTCACAAAGAGCTTTGGTGCTTCTGGAGGATACATTGGAGGCAAGAAGGTAAATGGGCCACGCAAATTGAACAATTAAGGGTAAAAGTGGTTCTGGCTACCACATTTGGTAACTCACGTGTAGCAGGTAAGCATCCTGAACTGGGATGTGGAGATCCTGAATTTGTTTGTGGCTTAGGCTCACAGTGCCAGTGGGCTTCACACTTGAGTTGCTCAGTGAGTGACTCTGATGAACTAAAGGCTGGTTCTGTTCATTGTTTGTTGTTCTCTTACTTGAGCTTCGTTCTAAACCACATGCTGGTCTGACATACAGAACACCCTCTTATGTGAAAGGACGCACAGTGGTGCTGCCTGTTTGCCGCAGTCTTTTTCTGGGTTTGAGTTGTACCCACAATTTCAAAAGTAGTGAGTTTATAATGAGAGCCAGTGGGAATAGAAGACCAGTTTCCCTGCGCTTGGCCTCACATGCATCTCGGGTGAGCATAAAGATAGAAAGTTAAAAGATTATTTTGCCTGCTCTGGTTTACTATAAGGCATTGTGCTTTTCAATTTAAAAATTGTGTAATGAATTCTGAGGCATTTGAGAATCAATGTGGTGTGGTGGAAATGGTTGAACCATGAGACAGAGGCCTAGGTTTGAATATTTCCCTAACTTTGTGAGCCCTGGGGCAAAGCATTTAACCTTCCCATTTCCTTATCAGTAAAACAGATGAATATGCCCAACTTATAAGATTGTAGTAAGGATTGAAAAAATAGCGTATGTCCATGCTACAACATGGATGAACTTGAAAGCATTGTGTTAATTTAAAGAAGTCAGTCACAAAAGGTCACGTATTATTTCTTTTATGTGATATATCCAGAACAGGTAAATCAGAGACAGAATGTAGGTTCGTAGTTGCCAAGGGCTGAGGGGATGTGGTGAGTGGAAGGTGACTTCTGATGGGTATGAGGTTTCTTTCTTAGATAATGAAATGTTCTAAAATTAGATAGTGGGGGTTCAGTTGGTAGAACATGTGACTCTTGATCCTGGGGTCGTGAGTTCAAGTCCCATGTTGGGCGTGGAGCCTACTTAATAATTAATTAATTAAATTTTTTAAAAAAATTAGTGATGAAAGTTGCACAGCTCTGTGAATATACTAAAAGCCACTGAACTGTACACTTTAGAAAAGTGAATTATATCTCAATAAAACTTACTGTAAGAAAAAAACTCTCCATAGTATTAATAAAAATACATTGTCAAATACTTGTATGTGGCATGTAGTAGGAGCTCATAAATATCTTTAATTCCTTTTTAAAACCTGACATTGGGAAACTTAAAGCATGGACTTTCTCTTAATAATTGATTGCCTTTTAGAGAAAACTCATTAGTGGTTTTAGTCAAGTTTGATAGATTTTTACCTCAAATTTTTGTTAATGGGACCAGGCTCACTTTGGAAAGTTGCTTGCTTTTTGGTAAAATTTATTGCTAAACCAAAGGACTTAAAGTAATAATCTGGGACATCATTTAAGTCTGGTATATCTATGCTTTTGTGGCTTTTGTTCAGTTTTTAGTGTTTTTGAAGTGATAAACTGTTTTACAGTCCTATTTTGTATCTCCTTGTTGAGTTCTGGTATGTAAGCTACTTTGCACATTTTATTTAAAGATTTAGTGAAGTTAAAAGGAGAGAATAAGGATATACAACTGATTGTTTTGGACTCCTTGTAACTGACATACAAAGTTTTTCTTTCTTCAATGAGATGGCTTTCCTGTTCTCATGAAAGACCCAGTGAATTTCTATTTAATTCCTGCCATATTTATATCATTTTATAAATGTGTATCTGGAGGACATTTAATCCCTTTAAAATTGATGTTAGAGAACTGTCTTTCTGTTACTCAGGGCTTTGCAGGTATAGGGTAATATGCAGATGATATTTTTTGTAGTAGTTATAAGTAAATTATTGTGTCTGAAAAGTAATCTAAGCACTTTAATTCAGCATTGTAGATCTGTTTATAACATTAAGCGATATGTTCTCCAAATTTAGAGGGCTTCTTTAAAACTAGTTTTTCTTTCTTTCTTGTTGTGGCATGTTTAAAAAACAAAACACAGCCTGAGCCTAAGGAGGTTGGCATGTGTCCGATGCAGTTGTTGCTGATAGTATCCTCTGACCTCTGCATCTCAGATTAGTGTCCCTCTTCCAGTGGTGTTGAAGGGAGGAAGAGTGTGCTTGCACCTGGAAGGAGTTCAGTGACATTGCAGAGAATTCAGCTTTCCCTCTAATGCCTTGCTTCTGTGAACTCCCCAGGAGCTGATAGACTATCTGCGGACACATTCTCACAGTGCTGTGTATGCCACGTCACTGTCACCACCTGTCGTGGAACAGATTGTCACCTCTATGAAGTGCATCATGGGGCAGGATGGCACGACCCTTGGTAAGTCTCTGTTTTCTTGGAAAACTTCCTCTGCTCAGTAAATGCTTAGCAACTAAACATGCTCTTTTCCTCAAACTTTTTTCCTAAAATGAGGAGTCTAATGGGCAGAACTGTCAGGTGTGTGAGGCCTTGGTTGCTCCGGACACTTTTCATTGTGTTTGATACACATCTGCCATGAGAACTAGCCTGGCTTGCTTCCTGTTGAATTTTCTTGGCTATAGATGGTGATGCTTTATTTAATCTTACTGTTCTACCTATTTTCATAAGTCTTCAGTGATAAGGCACAGGGTCTTTCCAGAATCGTATGAATTTCGCAGGGTCTTAAGGTCTTAGGGTCTAAGTTGCAGGGTCTTTCCTGAATTATGTATGAAGATGTAACTCACTGTGTAGCGATGTTTCATTCCCATTGTATTTAAAAGCTGCTCTTTGCATGTATTAATGTCCTTGATTTAATGCCTTTTTAAAGAGTTTCTAATTTAACAATAGGTAATAAAAGTCATCCTGAATTCGTTTATTCTTTCTTTGGTGGAATTTGTAGTCCAAACTAGATACTCTGACAAACACACTGAAATGAACAATAAATAAAATGTGGTACTTGCTTTTTTATTTTACTTTTATTCTGCATCACTAGAGGGCAGTGTTGATTGCAGAAAAGTTAGAACAATTGGGATTTTTGTTTTGTTTTGTTTTTTTACTTCTAAAAGTATTTCCATTGTATGAGACATACATTAATTTTACTTGCTTTTTAAATGCTTCTAAAATGAGTTTTATTCTTGTAAAAGATTTTACACTGTCAGCTTTGAGCTCTCCACTCTTCATTTATATAAATTTTATGGTAAGATTGTTTTGATTTGTATTGGAAAACAAGAAGAAAGTAATCTGATTTTGATGGATGCAAACCTGTTTTCTTAAATCAGAATTTTTCCTTAATATTTTTTTTCTGATCTGTGGTATATCCTTATTATCTCTAGCAAGAGATTTTTGGAAATAGTCTTCAAAGTGTTGATCATTTTCAGTTTCATGAATTGATTCCTTGGGAAAGAAAATATTTCATTCATGTTGTGAACACAGCATGGAGCCTTGGGAGTAACCGCCTCTTAACAGTAGCTACGGTATCTTCTCTCCTTCCTCATGGTGTTAACAGAAGTAGTGTTTTGATCTGAGATATATACTTATATAGCTAGCAATTATCTAGTTACTTCACATAGGTGCATCAACCTTATTGATTCAGCGTACAGAAAGGTGACTAAAATGAATGGCTAACAGCTATCAAGAGTTAATTTTGGGTAATTTCTTTGCCCTGTCCTAGAACGTGGATCTGTGTGATATGTGACCTCTGCATAAATGACTTATCTGTACTAAGTAATGAAATCTAGGCTCTGCTGGTGGTGAGAAAATGAAATGTGGTAATTAGTTATAGGCTTTGGGTTAGCACTCATTTTCCAGTTTATTTATTGCCTCTCTGACATGCGCCCCCCCCCCCCAGCTTAGTGGTGTGAAACAACAGCCATGTTGTTATGCTCACAGATTCTGCAGGTCAGGAATTCGGTCAGGGCACAGCAGGGATGCCTTGTCTTTGCTCCATAATATCCAGGGCTTGAGCTTGAAAGACTCACGCCTCTGGGAGGACTTAGATGGCTGGGGGCTGGGATCATCTGGAGGCTTCTTCCCTCCCATGTCACTTGGGCTGAAGTGACTTGAACACTGGGCTCAACTGAGGCTGTTGACCAGAGCACCTTCACATGTCCTCCCTATGAGGCATGGGCTCCTCATAGCATGGTGACTGGGAATCCAGAGGGGATGCTTCAGAGCAAGTGTTCCCAAATAACCTGCTGAAACCCCATGACCTTTGCTGATTTGTTGTTAACAAGCAGGTCACTAAGGCCAGTCTAGATTGCAGAGCATGGGAAATCAGATTCCACATCAAATGGAAAGTGGGTCCAAGATTTTGTGGCCATTTTTACGACTTGCCACTACCAGCTTTTATATATTTTAAAAAATTGCTCTCTAAAACTTTTAATTAGTATAGGCAAACTTCTTTTGGCTACATTGCTTCTCTGCCAAAATAGAGGATAATAAAAATGTAACCAAAAGTAGAGAGAAGTACCATCTCTCTTAAATCTGGCTACCTGATCTTAATTACATTTGACCTGATTTCTTTTAGATTTGAGTGTGTAAGGTAATGCTTATTTTTATGGCATCATTAAATGCACCTTTTTATTGTCTTTGTAGTAGAAAGAAAGTGTGAATCAAGTAGCAGCCCTTTGTGCCTTAAGGTGACCTTTAAAAAGAGGTATCTGCGGGGCACCTGGGTGGCTCAGTCGTTAAGTGTCTGCCTTTGGCTCAGGTCATGATCCCAGGGTCCTGGGATTGAGCCCTGCATCAGGCTCCCTGCTCAGCGGGAAGCCTGCTTCTCCCTCTCCCACTGGCCCTGCTTGTGTTCCCTCTCTTGTGTCTCTGTGTCTCTGTCAAATAAATAAATAAAAATCTTAAAAAAAAAAAAAAAGAGGTACCTGCAATTAATTTACCTGAGTATGAGTTTATAGTAGAAGCAGCCTGCCCTGAGTGAAACTTAATCTTTTATGTTCAAGACCTTGAATTTCATTCATTCCATAAACATTGAGTATCTCACTCTGTGTTAGACTCTGAATCAGAATCCACAGGAAATGGGCATACAAGCAGATGATTTGAGAGGAGTATATACTTGTGGAGTATTGGAGATAACAGAGGATAGTGGCTTGTTCTGTCAGTCCCAGAGAGTACTGTAACATAGAGAAATTGTTTTATTAATCACTTTACCAAGTATTTGCCCTCTGTGTGCTAGGTGCTATTGCTAGACACTTGCGATTCATCAAGAATGAAACACCCCAAAGTTTTTGCATAATGGGGTTTCTAGTGTAGGAAGTAAATTATACAGTGTGCTAGAAAATGATAAGTACCCTGGGAAAAAGGGAAGTAGGGAAGATGGGTGATCAGGGGTTCTGGGGACCCAGTTTGCAATTTCAAATAAGGCAGTCATTGAGAAGGTAAGACTTTTAGCAAGAATTTGAAGAAGGTGAGGACTTGGCCCTGAAAATCCAGGGATAAAAAGGCCTGGAGATGGAGGCCACTCTGTGTTCAGTAACAGCGAGGAGACCACTGTGGCCTGAGCATAGTAGTTCACGTAGAGGGATTGTGAATGATTGAGTGGGGAAGGGTAGAGGCTCAAAGGGTGGCAGTTCTGATGGGGGGCATACTTGTGAAGGGTGTTAGGGTGACACAAAAAAACACACACTCGTTCTCTTGCCCTAAAATAAAATTCAGATTCTTGTTTAATATTGAATTCAGATTCCTTTGAATCTGTGGGCTGATTAATGCTGGCAGGCTTCTGGCGTGCATCAGACTGGTTAAGAATGTTATTGGTCCTTCATATTTTTATGAAAAGGTACAGAAAATAATGTACCCATGATCCCATATTTTAATGATAATATCTCACCCCATTTATCTCAGTTTTTAAAAAGAAAAAGGTAGCTAAAACTCCCTTTAGTGTCCTTTCTTGATTCTGTTTCTCTCACCCCTTCCCCAGAGATAATCACTATTCTGAAATTGTCTCTTTCTGTACTTTTACGCTTTTACTATGACCGAATCCATATAGTGTCAGTATCCCTCACTGTTTGAAGGCTCACTGTTTGCCATGATGACTGGCAGAAATGCTTATGATATTTAACTGTCTGAATCAAAACCCACTATAATAAATTGTCATGAGCACACCAGTAAAGATGTTTTCAGTTGGGCACGAGTCTGGGGAAGAGGCTGTGGAGTCTACTGCAGTTGTACTTTTGCTCTTTTCCTGATAGGACCTGGTCTCCTGTTCACTTTGAGTTGTTAAATGTGTTGTGCAATATTTCTGTCATCTTCCCCACATTGCTAATGAAAATGTCCTGTGACATGCAGAAAAACCTATGAAGAAAGTAGGTGAGCAAAAGAGGACCACAGATGTCCCTGCATTTGTAGAACATGTGGGAATGCTAAAGCTCATTGAGACAAGGGAATACCTACCTGGGAATATAATGGACTCCATATTGTGCCTCATCACTGAGTCATATACTGAGTCAGTTATCTCGGGGTTAAAATAGGTCATTGGTATTTTAGATGCTTTCTATTTTTTTTTTTAAGATTTTATTTATTTGACAGAGACAGCGAGAGAGGGAACACAAGCAGGGGGAGTGGGAGAGGGAGAAGCAGGCTTCCCGCTGAGCAGGGAGCCTGATGCGGGGCTTGATCCTAGGACCCTGGGAGCATGACCTGAGTCGAAGGCAGACGCTTAACAACTGAGCCACCCAGGCGCCCCCTCGTTGTAGTTCTTATTTCTATTTTCCTGATTAGTAGTCAGATTGGCCATTCATTTAGATGGGTATTTTTAGGAGTTCTTCATGTATTCTGGGTAATAATTCTTTTTTTCTTTTTTTTTTTTTTAAAGATTTTATCTGTTTATTTGAGACACAGAGAACAGGAGCAGGGAGGAAGGTCAGAGGGAGAGGGAAAAACAGACTCCCTGCTGAGCAGGGAGCCTGATCCATCCCAGGACCCTGAGGTCATGACCTGAGCAGAAAGCAGCCACTTAACTGACTGAGCTACCCAGGCGCCGCCCCCCCCCTTTTTTTAAAGATTTTGTTTATTTAAGACAGAGCACAAGCAGCGAGGAGGGCCAGAGGGAGAGAAGAATAATTCTTTACTACTGTTTTCTCTCAAACTGGGAGAAAATTGGCTTTTCTTTAAATCTTGTTTCTAATAATTATGTTTTAGAAAAGTTTTCCTTTTTGATATGGTAGAATTTATGAGTTTTTTCCCGTATGGACAATGTTTTTGTGCCTCAAACAATCTTTTCTTTAGTCCATGTCAAATATATCTTCTGCAAGTGTTTATTGCTTTCTTCTCCTGTTTTGTATGAATCAATTAATTGGTGTCATGTGTTTCTGTATGATTATATATGTGTGTGCATGATTTATTTTAGGGGTATT